AGCATCTTCTTGTTGGCAATACATTCTTGGAGATCGCACTCGGCCACACCCTCGGCCTTCTTCCTCTTCCACTTCAGCTTGAAGCCCTCGACCACCTCAATGAACTTCCGAGACATATCCTTCAGGATCTCACGGCCCGCTTTGCGGATATCACTCTCGCACTTACGGACCAGACGGAGATTCTCCTCCTGGTAGGCCACAGCCTCGCGTTGAGCCTGCACCGCTTCAGCTTGAGCCTCGAAGATCTGGTTGGTGGCAACCTTGAACTTCTCACCCTTGTCAGCCAGCTCGATCTCGAGGTCGGTGATGTGAGCTTGCTGGCCCTTGTACTGCTTAAGGAGTATAGTCTGGCGAGCGACCTGCGCATTCGCGGCCTCTAAGTCGGACTTCAGCTTGTCGACTACCTCCTTCATTTTCTTGATCTCATCCGGGTGTGGATCGTCTCGCAGCCTTTGCTCAAGTCGAGCATAGAGCCGGTTCCCAGCCTCCGCCGGCTACAAGCATCAAGAATCAAAGCGTTAAGGCAAGTGACACTTAACCAAACTAACACAAAGAAAAAAGGTATCCCTGTACCTTCCCCTGGGCAGCCGCCATCTCCACGTAGAGCTCCCTCACAGTCATTTGCGTGAGAGCCGGAAGTTGGCACCCAGCGGGCTTGAAATGACGCCACATGGCCACTATGCCCTCGGAGTCATCCGTGATCGGATGGTCTGTGGTGTGCTCGAATTTCCAGTTAAAAGGCCGACTACCCGTCGAGCCACCACTCCCATTGGATGCCGATGGGCGTGACTCAGCAGCGCAACCTCCCGCGTCATCTCTCGGCCTCTTAGAGGTGGGCTGGAAAGACTGCTCGGGTCCTTGGTCATCAGCGGGCTGTTGGGTTTTGCCCGAGCTCACGGAGATCGTTCCCATCGAATTGTGAGGGGGGTCGGGCTGAGGATCCATCACCTGCTCAACCTCCTCGTCGCGGAGTTGAGGTGCGGAAGCAGAAGCCGTGGAAAGCGCGGCCTCAAGGGCCTCCTTAACGCTCCCGGAGCGTACCCTGGAGCTGCTGGGACCAGCCGGGGCTTTTCCGGCTCTTTGACGGAAGGTGGGCTTGCGAGACATTGCTGAGCTTGAACTTTCTGAACTAGAAGAAGGCAAAATAGAACGGAAAAGAAGAACTCCGGCTGCCAGCAAGATAAACCACCTTGCGTCAGAATATTATGATCCAACAACAAAGTCGAGATACAAGTTCAAAGAAAACTCACCGGGCGCGAAAACTGGAGCTGGGACGGGGGAGGTGAGAACTCGTCGGACTCGTTCTCGTGTGAACGTGCCCCAGATAACTTCTCCTCGTCTGAACAATTCTAGCTGGTGCTCGATATCGGGATCCTTGGGTGCTCTGGACAGTTAACCTGATAAACAAAAACAAGTAAATGGTCAGAAAACTCGACGAGCATACCAAAGCGAACATAGCTAACAAGCACTCGAGCCTAGCTAAACAACCGTTGCCCGCGAACTCGACTGGCAGCCGGGAAAAGTCGAAGTCCCCAACGGACGCCTCATTGATCCGGAACTTAAACCCGGTCTTCTCCCAACCAGAGTCCTTCTCCGGACTCTCCTCAATAAACCGCTGGTTCGCCCTTGGGGACGCATAGAAAGTCCCGAGGCGGCGGGCGTTGTACTTAACAGAGAAGAACGCCCTCAAATCCGAGTAATGGAAGATGACGTTTTCCTCTTTGGCCCGCACGGCACACCCGATGATGGCCCGAACCAAGTTCAACCAAGTTCGGGCACATCTGCGGGAAAGCCAGCTGCAAGTCCGCCAACACCTCAAGGACAAACCGGGGGATTGGGAAGAACAACCCACAGTCCCGGAAATACGTTGCGTATGCGCAACAAAAAACTCGGCTCCACGTTCGTTGGAGTCTCTGCCGGCGTCAGAACGGCCAACTCTACCCTGTCGGGGATTTCGCATTCTCGACGGAAGTCGTCAAGAGCTTTCTGGTCGATCTTGGAAGGACCTGCGGTGGTCCTCCCGGGTTTCTCTCCCTCAATTTTCACTATAGCCGACATCGTAAAAGAAAAGAGGAAAAAAGCGGCAAACGCTGAACCCAGAAAACTAAAAAGATGAAAGTCGGAGCTTTTCTAAAGGAAATCTCGGCAAACAGTTTCTAAAAACTACGAAAAAAGGAAGTTGCAAAAAATAAAAGGAAAGAGAAAGAGGAAGTTACCTTTAATTGACGAACTGAAGCGGTTAAAGAAGGAGTGGAGAAGGTGAACTTTATATCGAGGTAATTATTATCAACCTCGAAGATCGCATAAAATCTGGCCAAGCGCCAATCTCGACCGTTCGATCCTCCTATCCTAACCGTCGAATATCCGACTTCAATGATTTGACTCGCTGTACAGCTCGATCGATCGAGGCCGTTAGATCGACTTCCTCTCTCCTCATCCGACCGTCTACGTCATCAAGCTTCAGTGCGAATCTTCTCGAGGGATGCACCTTGCCCTGGGAAGCTCGACCGCCGAAACAGAAAAGTAAATGATAATATTTACTTCGAATCTCGATCGTCCACCTGGACGAGATAATAACAGATTTATCTTGACACGCCAAGTTACGGTCTCGAGGTCGATTTTTGACCGCATGATTGACAAACTGTTCACCTTTCCAAGATCTGAACCATCGATCTCGAATGATTATCTAACTTCATGACGTCAGCATAATCAAACATCAAATCTTTCAAAAATCCCATCTTGACGTCCATTAAAGCTCGAGCTCGCTCTCATTACTGGGCTGGGGGGAGGGGGGCAATTGTTGGAGCTGGATTTGACACCCCAAATCCGGCCCACTAAAGCCCAACGGGCAAGTCCATACTAAGCCAAAGTGGCTGGGCTTCAACCTTACGGCCCAGGCCCATTCACCTTTCAACAACCTGCTCCTGAGCAACAAGATATTCCGTTCGACGAGGTCGAGCTCCAGCTCGACCAAATCCCAAAAAACGAGGAAGAATCCAAGCCAAGTCAGAGCATATTCTCGCCAGTTCAAACGAGTCCGAAGATCGCGGAGGAAGTTGCTGCACGTGGCGAGATATCCGGCCGAGGCTGCTGCACGTGGCCGAGATACGCGCTGGAGCTCGAAGCTCGACGAGGCGAGCTATATAAAGAAGGAGAACGGCTTAGTTCAGGGGACCTCCGGCTTGATCTTTCTACACACTTTTTACATCCGAAAACACTGTAACTGCTCATTAAGCTATTTTCAGTTCATCTTCTTCATTGAAATCCTTGTAACCGTTTTATTCGACCGATTAATACAAAGTCCTTATTTCAGTTAGTGCTAGCTTATACTGTCAATCTGTTCGAGAGAATCTAGCCTTTAATCATCTAAAGTTTTTTCCTTACAAATACACATAAAGTTCTAAGTATGGATTTCAGTATCCACAAATATCAAAATATATATAACAAGACATATACTTTGTTATTTTTTTTAACACATAAAAACCATACTTGATTTTTCTACAAATATGTATATATGAATTTATTGTACATATATTTTGTTAACCTTACATATATGTAATCCATTTTGGTTTAGATAACATTAATGTCAAAAAATATATATATATATATATTATAAAAATTATATTCAACAAAGAAAAAAAATCATACTATAAATAATATTTAAAAATATTATAAAAATTTTATTAATATTATAATAAAAATTTTACATTTGTAATTATATGTTAATAGAAATGTTAGAATAACTAATTTTTTTAAAAATAAATTAGTTTTAAAAATTATAAAACAATATAAAATATTTATGTAATTGTTGATAAATATTATAATTGCACATGTATATATAAACATAACTTTTACAAAATATATAAGAAATTAAATAATATTTAAATATTATAATTAATTATATCTATAAAAATATCATACATGAATATACGTGTGGATAACCACCTGGTCATTATTAACAACTAATAGAAAGGTGAAAAGTACCACATAAATCACTAATGTTATGTCATTTTCAATTGTATATTATATATAATTTTATCATATATACTGGATTTTCCGTTCAATCGTACCCATACGTTATTTTCTTATTCTGCTAAAAAGTATTCATACACTTTCGAACAAGTCAAACCGAAATTTGCTACCCTACATTCTTTGGCAGCAAGTTTCTGTATTAATCACTGATAATTCGAGTTGTCTTTGTCGTTTAGCGACTTATTCGTTGGTGAGGAACGTGATCTCCAAGTGTATTATCCTGTCATTTTTGCATCCATTTCTTTACAAATAATCAGTAGATATTCGTGGAGACAATAAATTGTTTTTTACCATTTTATAATTTAAATTGCGATTTATATAATTTAGGTATAACCGTATAAGTTCGTTCTTTCTACAATTGTTCATTTATACCAAGCTGTAAAACTTGTATCCCTCTTATGTGTTATAACAAATGCTATAAGCATAACTGGAAAATAAATATGATTGATTATATATTTGTTCTATTTTAAAGTATTTGTTATAAAACATAAACAAAAAGTGTGAGAAAAGGAAAGAAGAATTGAAAGTTTAACATAGTTTACCTTTTGTTTCTTGGTGTGTATTTGTAAGGAGAAAACAAGTTTAAACCATATAAAGTAAAACATACTTGTAAGTTGTAAACATGCCTCCTGAGCTTTATATGAAATCAAGTGCTGTAAGTCATTGTTTCTTTTTTATTGAATAGGTAGGATCCTGCAAAAATGGTATTTTTCAAAATTTTCCCTCGGTTCTATAGTCAAATAGAATAACAGATACTATGGATGTTATTTATTCTGAAATTTTTAATAGAAATTCTTGGTTGGAAATTAAAAATTATTAAATATTTACAAATATGTTTAAATATTTAAACTGATTAAATTTATATCTGCATCCTCTTGCCTAGGGGTTTATTCCAGTGGAAAATTTACACGGCCTATAAAAGTCATGTAAATCCAATATTATATTCCCACGATTTACAAAAAGAAAATTCTCCATTGACATTGACATTGACATTGACATTAGTTTCCTGTCTATAAAGATTCCAATTTATCTGAAATCTAAGGCAAGGCCTTCAACACTAGAAAGAGGACAATGGAAGAGCCACTTCTTCCGAGAGACGAGGAGTTTGTACCCGGTACAAAGACATGGCAAAGAAGTCAGCTCACCGTCGAGCTAGAGAAAGTTAGCCGCTTGGCCGCTCCTATGGCCACCGTGACCATTGCTCAGTACCTTTTGCCTGTCATCTCAGTCATGGTCGCCGGCCACAACGGCGAGCTCCAGCTCTCTGGTGTCGCTCTTGCCACTTCCTTCACAAACGTCTCCGGTTTCAGCATTATGGTAACTATGATATGAATTTGTCTTCTTTAATTTTAGAATCCAATAGACTGTCTCCTCTTTATAATTCAAGAATTCAATACTCTCAAATCTTGAAAACGCTTTGTGCAGTATGGATTAGTGGGTGCTTTGGAGACTCTTTGTGGCCAAGCTTATGGAGCCAAACAGTACGAAAAAATTGGAACCTACACATACTCTGCAATCGCCTCTAACATTCCAATTTGTTTCCTCATATCAGTTCTCTGGATTTACATCGATACGCTCTTGATCTCACTAGGACAAGACCCTGACATCTCCAAGGTGGCAGGATCCTACGCCTTTTGGCTCATACCGGCTTTGTTCGGTCAAGCAATTGTCATACCACTGACCCGGTTTCTACAGACACAAGGGTTGGTTCTTCCTCTGCTCTACACTGCTGTGACCACCCTTTTGTTCCATATCCCGGTTTGCTGGATTTTGGTTTCCTTGTTTGGTCTGGGAAGCAATGGAGCTGCTTTGGCTATTAGTGTGTCTTTTTGGTTTTATGCGTTGATACTAGCTTGCTATGTGAGATTCTCCACCTCTTGCGAGAAGACTCGAGGCTTTGTATCCGAGGATTTCGTTTCCTGTGTCAAACAGTTTTTTCAATACGGAATCCCATCTGCAGCAATGACTTGGTAAGTCATTTTAATGTTTCTTGTTGGTCAAGTGAAACACTTAGTTACACTATAAACTTCCTACTATCTGACTTGCATTGTTTTTGATAGCCTAGAATGGTGGCTATTTGAGCTACTCATTCTCCTCTCAGGTCTTCTCCCTAACCCTAAACTCGAGACATCTGTTCTTTCAATATGGTAAGTATCATATAGATAGACTTCTTCTTCTTTTTTTTTTTGTTTTGTCTTCACTAGTAAGTATCAACCTGATGTCTTATATGTCATTCTTACAACCGCAGCTTTGCACTATGTGATTCCAGCTGGAATCGCCGCGTCTGTGAGGTATGATTTCAATTCTCAAACCAAAGCATCTTCAACTATTCCTTACTATAAATTTGTTGATGGTTTCTTGCAGCACACGCGTGTCAAACAATTTGGGAGCTGGGAATCCTCAAGTTGCTAGGGTATCAATATTGGCAGGGCTTTGTCTCTGGTTTATAGAGTCATTTATCTTCAGCACACTTCTCTTCACCTGCAAGAATATCGTAGGCTACGCATTCAGCAACAGCAAAGAAGTTGTGGGCTATGTCGCGGACCTATCTCCTTTGCTCTGTCTCTCCTTTGTCCTCGACGGATTTACTGCAGTTCTTAATGGTGTCGCTAGAGGAAGTGGATGGCAACACATTGGAGCTTGGAACAACGTGGTGTCTTATTATCTCGTAGGAGCTCCGGTTAGAGTTTACCTAGCTTTCAGTCGTGAGTTCAACGGAAAAGGATTGTGGTGTGGAGTTGTGGTTGGATCCGCCGTGCAAGCCATTATACTATCTTTCGTCACGGCTTCCATGAATTGGAATGAACAGGTTAGAAGATAAGCCATTTCGGCTTGGTACAGTTTTTCTTTTTATGTTTTGAAGTAATGGGAATCTATGATTTGCAGGCTGAGGAAGAGAATAGTCTCAACTGGAAATGGATCGGCATAAACGACGAAGGGTGTTTCTTATTTAATCAATTTTGTTTTATTTCAATTTTGGTATACAAATGTCACAGTTCCATAATCAACAAATGAATAAAATCCCTCATTGGTTCCAAACTACTACAAATATTGGTTTGATTGTTACTTTAGCTGGTTTGATTAGGTTCCTAATGAAAATTAGTTTGTTACTAATCATGTATCTATTAAGTTTCGTGTACACACTTTTCTAATTAATAAAACAAAACTGCCTTCCAAGCTTGATATGTTATTAGAAGTTAGAACACAACTTCTATTCACTGAATTTTTTTTTTCCAAATCTTGCAAAATAAACAATCCTTATGCTGATCTTTCTACTCACTAAGTTTTTTTTTTCAAGTTGTTCTTGATGAAAGTCTTGTCAAAATCGTTCAAGTTACCTTTGCTCTGCTTCTTCAGTTTCCTCCAATCTTTGTTTTTTCTCAATTTCTATATTGAACATATGGGATCGAAATGCAAATCATTATGATCATGCGCGACACTGTAACACCTTGGACTTACACCTAATAAGAAAATTAAAGTGTCATTAATCTTTAAGTCTAAAGAAAAAGGGTTTTGGTTTTCCAAAAACTTTCTTTATTAAAAGGGAAGCACAGAAACATAATTCTCATCTTAAAACCCGAAACACTCAGAGTTTCAACCCAAAAACCCTAGCCTCACCGTATCATCTGCTGTTGCCGCTGTAGAGAAAAGGCATAAGGTAGATCACTGATAATTTATCAACGTCTGATGTATTTTCAAGATGTAGTCAAAACTCTCTCTCTCTCTCTGAACTCTTTCTACTTGATCAATTAATGGGGTCTAAGTGGATAGATGATATCCGATCTGCTGGTTGCGGAACTCAATCAGGTGGATCAACAGATGTCACATAGCTTTATGAACAATGGTCTTTGGTAAGCTATGTAAACGCAGTACCTCCTTGAAAAGCAGGTCAGCCATTTGTGTTGCATCATTTGTCTTTGCACAAGGTATTAAGTGTGTCATCTTGGGAATCAATCAATCATCACAAAGATGGAATTCTTATTTCCTCTCTCTCTCTCTGAACTCTGAACTCTTTCTACTTGATTAATTAATGGGGTCGAAGTGGATTAAGATGAGATCCGATCTGTTGGTTGTGGCACTCAATCATAGGGATCTTTCGATGGAATGGAATAGAAGGATGGATCGAGAGACGCCACAAAGCTTTATGAAATAAGCAATGATAAGTCTAAACTCAATAGCAAGTGAATCACACACAAACTCAATGAATCAAAGGTTGGCTCTTCAAGAACAAAAAGAGATTTTCTTATTAATCAATGGTACAATATACAAAGCTGAGCAGGAACCTGGTTCCTCAGCTAGACGGCTTCATAGCCGAATTTATTACAAGATCAGCAAAATCAAAGGAAAACTAATACATAAGTTCATAATATAAAAGATTGTAAACTTTAAATAAAATAGCTGTTGAGGTCAAACAAGAGAAACACAAGAGGATTAATCAAATAATTCAAATGACTGAAATGCTTACCTTAGTTGTTTAAGAGTGTGCTCGTAAGGAAAACGCCTTTGCTGCCTTTTGATTTGAAATGCAAGACTTCTCTCTTTGTTTGATTTTGGTCGTGTTGGTCTGATTTAAGTTGGATGTATAACAAAAAGGGAAACCTTATGGTTTTTTGTATGACTGGCCATTCATTGCTTTATAAATTTAAATTTATATATGGATTGTTTAGACCGTTCATTATGCATTCTTCTTGCCAAGTTTTGGTGCTTGTTTTGCGTGATGCTCAAGAGAATATTTGTGTTTGGTCTTTTGATGAGATAACAAGTTGATTCATTTGATTCGTGATGTCTTCAAATTCCTTTTGGGTGATTAAGTTCTTTATCGCTTTGTTGAAGTCTTTGTAGCTTTCTTGATCCCACCTTTTTTTTGGTGGCAACCTTGTTGCATGGGTGGCAAGTATGTTCTGGAGAGGAGCACGCTGTTTGTCGCACGACCCACAGAGAGGGACTAGCAAGGAAGATTTAGAAGTCTGTGAGACCGGATCCTCATGATCTTGGAGGAATAGTGCTCTAGAGGGCGAGCAAATCCACGGAAGAGCATGTTGGAAGGAGTTTCCAAGCGAAAACGAAAATTGCAAAAACTGATGCCACCGGAGGATATGATCATACGCAGAAGATGAGTGCTCACATGAGGATATGCAAACGAGAAAAATACACAGTCATATGAACAGAGAATTGTGTGGTCATGCAAGCATGAAATTACACAATCATGCAAACGCGAAATCACACAATCATGCAAGCAAGAAAATGCATATATAATCATGCAAGCAAGAAATCACTCAACCATGCAAGTAAAAAATCACACAACCATACAAGCAAGGAATCGCATAACCATGCAAGCAAAAACTGAAATAGTTCCACACGTTGCTAACACGCTGGTCGGAGTTGTATCCAGGGGTGGCCACGTTTGACCTGTAAGCACGGGTTCTGTGCAACCCGCCTCAGGGATTGAAGTGCCCGGGTGGCCACGTTCGACCCGTGAGCACGGTTTCTGTGCAACCCATCTCCAGGGTTGCATTACCCACGGTTTTTCTATAGAGATGTGAGATTCATACAGTTGCAACTGTTCGTCAGTGAATTTTCTCACGGGCTTGCCTGGTTTGTTAGTTGTTGCTTAGACTCCATTCCGGGTGGATACTAGCAATAGATGGGTGCGATCCACATGGTAGATTCCTGTGGCTTGAGGCACAGCGTGCTGCATCGCACAATACGCCTTGTTTCCCACAAAACGCCGGTTGCTTTTTCTGTCAAGAAGGACCGTCTATCTCTTTCTTCATTAAATGCACGTCTCTTCGGTCGCAAGGCTCAAAAAACCAATAATTACAGGCTACCCCGACTTTTGGCTTTTCCTAAGCGACGCGACTTTCCTCGCGCGTCGCTTTGATTTTCTTCTTCTTTTATAAATTTCGCAGAATCCACACATTAATAGTTTTACCTAGTTTCCAAAACTATCACAGATTTCTGATCTTCTTTCTAATCTTTCTTTCGCCTCTTATCTCTCTTCTCGTTCAAATAGAGATGTCGGCGGCAAGTTTATCTTCAGGTGCGTGGTGCGCCCCTTTTTATGGTCTGATGGCAAGCCCGAGAGTACGGCTCAGTCGCCCGAAGCGGCTTCTCCCTTTGACCTCCGTGGGTATGCACGTCGGATTCTCTAGAGAGGTTCCTGAGGGCGACCGACCCAGCTTGCTCCACCCTTCATCTTATCTTCCCTGTCATAAGTGACTGAGGGGATCGCCCTACATCTCATTGCTTGGCGATTGATAGGGTCAGGTTTTACCCAAATAAAACTACTGCAAGTGCACAGCAAAGCAGTTGTAGTACAAGGGGTATCGAAATCCCAAGAGAGTAATGCAGACTACACTATCGAATGTAGATTCGGATTAAGCTAAGCAAGATATGATGTATGTAATGCGAATGAATGAATGAAAGTAAGCAAACGATTTTGTAAGATAATCTAAGTTCCAGAGGACTAAAAGCGCTAAGTCAGGGCAGTTCGCAGGTTGAATCCAAGAATGTATGCCGCAGGAAATCAGGAATGATTAAAAACCGTTTTAAACATGAATTACTGATGTATAACTAATCAATTCTCATTGCAAAAGTTATCTATGCCTAAATCACAGAGTTTCAAATCTCTTTGCAAACCCTAACAACCTAAGCATGCAGGAATGATCAGATTCAATTGTTTACAAAACTCCTAAGCCAAATCTCTTTGCACTAAGTTGCTTCGCTCATCAAATACTAGTTCAGGTTATGAATAATGCTCTCACATATATTTAACAACCTAAGATTTTCGGATTCCTAGATGATGTGTCTCAGAAATTCGATTTTAAAACAAGCAGAGATGAAAAACCATAAGATATTCCTAACAGATAGCGATTCTACATTCTTTTCATCAACTTTTGAAAAACCCTAACTTAACTAGCAGATTACTCAGACATGATTATGAGATCACAAAACATAACTGAATAAAATTGCATTAAGAGAAAGAGTAAGAAATAAAGGGGGTTCGAAATCTTCTCAAAAAAGTACAGGATTTGTTTCCCCAAAAAGCTCTGAATAAATCTCTCTCTAAGCTCTCTGAATTCTCAAAAACTAAGATAATAGCCAACAATGGCTGAAAACCCTAATAAATAGAGGCTAAACACGATCTGGGGTCTTCATGTAAATAAAAGAACTTCTGGGCCAATTCTGCAAATCTTCTTCATACTTTTAATAAAACAGCCACGCTCCTTCCTTGATGGGTGACGAGCGTCACTAGTCTGGTGACGAGCGTCACCATATGTGATACTTTCTGCGTCGAGCTTGGTACTTCGTGGCTTCCACCCAGAATGCTCCAGAAGGTTCCAAAATCTCCAATTATGCTCCAGACATGCTATAACCTGCAAAGACTCTTCTAGGACTCTAAAAAGACCAAAAAGACTCAATAAAAAAGACTTATATCATGGTTAGAAACCATAAAAACCATGATATATCAACTCCCCCAGACTTAGCTTTTGCTTGCCCTCAAGCAAACATCAGACAAAGAATAAGGTCGAGGTTTGAAAACAAGAAACATTCAGTCAGTCATCAGGAACACCATACTAGTTAGAGCTTTCGAATCCACATACCACAGAGTCAACACAAGATCAAATTTCAGCCTAATCATCACAAGCTTAGCAAACTCTCAAATCCAGTCCAAATCCCTTCAAGAAATCCGAAATTTCTACTGCTAACTCCTTATTTTTTATCTAAGTGTGATATCTCATCAAGGCTCTATCATCTCAATCACTTTACAGATTCTTTTCCCTTCCTAACAACTGAACAAAATCAATCTCAACACAGCTCTCCTATTTTCTCTTCCCTTAATCTTTTCTTTAGGATATTTTCGATTTTTCACTTCTTTTTCTCAACTTTTTCAGTCTAAGAAATGGTGCTACTCAATACTTGTGTTCCTTGTGAGGAGACAGGTTCTTGAATGTGTTCACTACTGTTGTTCCTTGTGAGGAGACAAGGTCATGAATGCACCATTCTTTGGACTTAATCTTTTAAAAACTACATCAAGGAAGATCAAAGAGAGACTGCATTTTAACCTTATTGTCAGTGTTGAAAGAGAGAATCAAGATCAATAAGAATCAATCACCAAGACAAGAAGTTTAAAGTTCATTAAGGTGGAGCTAACAGCAAATTTTTCAGATTCTCTAAGAACCTA